CGAGTGTTTTTTCCCCCTGCTGCCGTGAAGCCGCCCTGCCTGGAGCCTGCTCCCGCCGCCGCCGCGCCGCCCTGCCTGGTGGCATCGAAAAAGAGGTGTTGCTGGTAGAGATTTTGGGTTAAAAAATTAACGCACATAATGTAACTATATAAATATGGCTCTATATATTTGAATATATAGAGACGTATATATACACATTCCTAGTAAGACAAACCTTCACCCGTTACCAAAAAACCACACCCGCGCACCCGCACAAAGGCGGCCGGCCACCCGGGCCCGTTACAATATCTGCATCGCAGGTAACACGCCCGAAACTATTAAGTCCATCCTGGTCCCTCAGACCAGGCCACATGTCCTTTCCACCCCTGCCCCGCTTGCAGGGTGACACGCTCAGCTCAAGCGTCCTCTCCGTCGTCCTCGCTCCCGCTGGAGGACCCGCCGCTGCGGTCACTGGCCTCTGTTCTGCTTGTTCCTCGTCTTTGCTGCCACTCTGCGTAAGGGACATTGGATGATCCTGTGCCACGTGTCGCTGTGCCAGGTGACACTGGCCGCGTCCTCTCCGTCCTCCACTACCAATTTCTGGTGGTAGGTCTGGAGTTCACTCAGAGCCATTTTTATGCAGCCCACGCCTCCTTTCACTGGTGGATGGGTCTGAAGAGGAGACCAGTGGGCAGGAAGGCAATCGCCAGGTCAGGGCCACCATGGAAAAGAAGGCGAAGAGCCAGGGGAAAGAAAGAAAGTCTGCAGCCTGGTAGTCAGCGCCATCAGGCAGCGGAGCAGGGGAGGGAAAGGGCAGGGCATTGAAATGAATGGGGCTGGGGCCCACCTCCCATTATCATTAGTTAATCAAGGGGTTGTACCTGGGCCAGGCTCCCCTGAGACAAAAGCCAAAACTATTCAGCTTGGAGAGCCCTGCTGGCCCTTCTGCCCCAGGGAAATGCTTGGGGTGGAAGAGCAGTGAGTATTGAAGTGAAGAAATGCAATGAAGCTCAGGGGAATAGGGGACTGACTGACTCCCTCAGAGGGCATCTCCTGAGGGGTGGCAGTCATGGTTACAGGTCACTGGGGGATTGACCCGTTCCCTCTGGTAGCCAGGGGTGGGTATTAAACCAGGGCTTGGTGTGGCCAGCTGGGGATGCAACCTCCCAGCCCTCTCGCGTGCCTCACTAGCTGTGGCAGCAGCTACAGCAGCACAACTCAAACTTACCAGGTCAGCCTTGGTTGCTGGCCATAACCGTTGAATGCAGTATTAAGGTGGCCCCCAGGTGAACCTGTTCAGCTGTTGCCCGTGTTGTGCATCAGTAACGCAGGTTTTAACCATGTGCTTCTCTTCCGCTCTTGGCAAATAATGATCACCGCCCTCATGGTATAAAGTTGGCCGTGAATGACTGGTGCCTCCCACGACTAGGGGGGCACTATGATGGTGAGCGGGGACCACCTGCAGCCACCGCTTGCGGTGCCAGCAGTGGTGAGCGAGACTACTCACAGCTGCCACCAGCGGTGTCATTGGCAGGGGGTGGAGGGTAGCGAGCAGTGGACGGTGAGTGGGGACCACCTGCAGCTGCCGGTGGCTACGTTGGCGGGGGGGCAGCAACTGTCCCCAGAAGCCAGCAGTGGCTTTGGCCAGTCTTGGGGTGGGGGGGGGCATGTGCCCCCACTACATGTCACTTATGATGCTGGCAAACCCTAGCTGTGGTTTGGGACTGCCCAGCAGGGACCAACTCTCAAACCCTAGATAGCTCACATAAGTGAGGCGAGGTCAAGCCCAGTGTACATTTATTCTGTTTCCAAACATGCAAGTGGAGTGCCCATATGTCCAAGCTGTGGCCTGATGCTGCCTGGCTTTTTGTGGGTGCTAAGCACCGATGGTCATTTGGTTGGCTGTGGTTAAGGTCATGTGGCCTCCGCAGCTGTCTTTCCTGCACTATCCTACAGCGGGTTAAATCTTTTAATGATGATTAGAGCAACCGTGCAGTCATCATCATGGCTCACAATTGTTCATGACAGTTGTCAGTGGATTCTGTCACACCAGGCTGGATGGGCCACCTAGGACTTCAGACATGAATAATTCAAAAGAGATGTTCTCAGGAGTCAACTAAATTGCAATCCAGATTACAGGTCAATCCACCATAGCAACGCATGGCGTTTGCCTGGTTCCTGGAATACAGGTTAATCTGCCACAGAAATAAATGCATGGGGTTGACCTGGTGCCTGCCAAGAGGCATCCCAGGCTGCAGCAGCAGGGCTGGCCCTGGGGAAGGCTGAGGCTGGCTCAGTGTAGAGCAGCACACAGAAGTGGCAAAACCTGAGGCAGCAAGGGCAGGAGAAGGAACCTCCCCAGGTCATGAGTATTGGAGCTTGCAGAGGGGGCTGCCCTGTGAGAAGTGGGGGAGACAGGGAGTAGTCCCCCCTGCTCTCTGGCATGAAGCTACTCCTGTGTTATATGTGAACAGGCTGGAGAGTGCAAGGCCAGCCCTGAGGGACTGGCTGCCCCATGCCCTCTGCTCTGGGGGAACACAGCTCCACTGTTTGGTGCTACTCCCCATGGCAGTGTGCGGCCTGCCAAGGGAGACAGGCTGTAAAACATCTCATTATATATAAATCCACCCTCCCAGTACTAGTGGCATTTTGGCAGGAAGAGAGACAGTGGCAACGACTGCCATGATCAAAGCAGGGGCCAGGCCCAGAGCCCTCCATGGGGCCAGTAGCACAGGGACGGAGGGAATAGCATGCACCAGTCCAGTCGCTGGCAGCAAGAAGTCCTGTTTGGCATCCCGCTCAGTGCTGGGTGGGTGGCAGGGGGTGTCTGCTGGGGAACCAGGTCCCAGATGATACAGACTCTCTCCTTCAGCAGGGGCAAAGCATAAGCCCAGGTCAAGGCTGGCCAGTCCCAATCTGCTCGGTGAGGCTCCTTGAGGGAGGGCAGGGGACCGCAGGAACCTGGCCTGGAGGTGGCTAGTGCCCAGATGGTACTGGAGGCTCAGCAGCAGACAAATGGCTGGAGCTCTAGGTAAAGACAGGCCTTAGGAGGGCGTGTTTCTGATTTCCTCATCTCCAAGTGGGTAGGTACCAAGCACCGAGGTAGAGCTGCAGGGCCCAGGTCACACAGAGCAACTGCCTCAGGTCTGTAGCATGGAGGCTGGTAGCACTGCATACTGCTGGTTTGCAGCCCCCAGGCCTGGCAGTGCCCATCCCAGACAGCAGGTCCTTCCCATTGTAGCTGTGGGTGACCCCAGCTGTGTGCTGCTGCGGTCAGGCTCACTGGCTGCACATGTCCGCACCCACCCCTTTGACACTCCTAGCACACCGCCTTGCATAGCCACACCACCTGCCTCGAGCTGCCTAGAGGCAACAGCGGGCAGCAGCCTAAAATAATAAGACAGCTGTCCCTGCTGCCCAGTCCCTGCTGACAGATCCCACTGCTGGGAGGAACCGGTGTGTGTCACTCTTCTTGAGGTGCCAGCTGCCGGCTGTCAGAGATGACACTCGGCTTCTTATCCTGCTACGGGGTGGTATGGATCCAGCCTGCTCTACCTGTAGCCCAGGTGCAACAAGACAGGGCCAAGTCTCCAAAGAAGAGATGCAAAGGAGCTCCCCACAGTGCTCAGAGCCAGACATCTGTCCCACAGGTCTCCACTGCTCTCCCCTGGACTGTGTGATACCCCATGGCTCTCTAGCTCCCCTGAAGAGGGTAGAGGTCCTGTGCCCAGCACCCACTTCTGAGAGCTGGCACTAGGAGTGACCCTGCAGTCTCTGCTTCCAAGGCTTAAAGCCTTTCCCTAGAGCCCACCAAGGGTGTGAGCATCTGGGGCAACATGGTACTTCTTCAGGGGTCTGTGCTGGAGAGAGCACAGGCCCACACAGGCAGGCCTGGCGTGGACAACCCAAGCACATTCCCATTTAGTTCTGCGTTTACCTCTGTCCTTAAGGCCTGGAGTTCAAATCGCTCCCAGCCTTTGTACTGTCTGGCAAAGAAAGACCCCTTGGTGGGGATGGGGCCAGGGAATTTGTGGGGCTCTGCATTCCTTCTTGTTCTCTTTCACTTTGCAGCGATATACAAGATGGTGAAAGGTAAATGCCCTTTTCCTGGCTCCACTGACATGCTGACTTCATGGGAAACCCACTAAAACCCACCCACACTTCCCTCCCCATCTCCACAGAGGCCTGAAAACAAAGCAGTCTTGCATAAATGGGGCCCAATCCTGGGCATATTTCTGGCCTCACCCCCACTCCTGGTGCACACCTGGGACAATGGACTTCAGGCCCAGGTATGCCCTCGCTGCGTGGCTTTCCCCTGTGGTCAGGCCCGTGCGCTATCACGGGTCTGGTTAATCCCTCTGCTCAACACGCCTCAGCGGAGCCAGCATCAGACTTGCAGGACATCAGGCAGAAGCCAAAGCATAGGTCCTTCCCCTGCCACCCCCCACCCCTAAGAGCTGTGACCTTACCCTGTAGTTGCCTCATCTGTGGGATGACACCTGAGCTCAGGCTGTCCCCTCATGGCTTAGGCACAGCCTTCCCTCAAAGCTCCCCAGGGGTATGAGCTTTTTGGAGGGCACTGCATTTCTTCAGAGATCTGGGCTGGGGAGAGCACAGGCACGCTCCCAGCATTGAGAACACACCACTGCTCTTTGCTTAACTGCAAAATAAATGCTTGGATCTGGACAAACTTAGCTACCTTGACTCCCATTTCTGATGCCAGCTGAGTGCTACCTCCAGGCATTGTCCACTGCCTGCCAAGCAAATCTGGGAGAGAGTAAAACCTCCTGCTGGGGCCAGCTGGGTGCTAGCAGAGCAAGGACAGCTTCACCCTTGTGCAGGGCTCCTTCCACTCTAGCCATGCTGGACACAGCACACTTTATCCTGGAACGTGCTCCCTGTACTGAAAGGACTGCTTTGTCTCCATCTGCCCCTTCCTCTCATTCATGCTGTACGTGTTCATAGCATCAATGACTTCCCCCCCTGGAAAAAAAAAAGGAAAGAGCAGCCCTACTCCTCCATTTCCATTTGATGCATTTTATTTATGAAGACAAAGGCAAGGAACAAACACGTCCATTGGAAAACCATGTACATCATGAGGCTTCAATACCTTACCCTATTTACAGGAATACCTTACAGTATAAAATATATACACATACCTTGTGCTATGCTTAACACACAGATGGATCCGCAGGGTCTTACAACCCCAAGAAATGAAAATTTGAGCAAGGGCTGGCCTCTATAAAAACACCTCAGGGCCAGAAAAGGCACCTGCTATTGGCAACATTTATACAGTTGAGACAGGGCGATGGGGGGAGTCAGTCTCCTGTTGCTGAGCCTGTTCTGTCTTCGGTGTCTAGGGCTGTGTGTGGGGCTACTTAAAAGGGCTTCCAGCCCACACATGAAATGCCAGGCAGCAGCAGGGTTATCCTATCACCAAGATCTCAACATCAAGCAGTGCTGTAGTGTGAGGTGAACAAATCTCCAGGTTGGAGACCAAGCTGGCCTGCAAAGCCCGCTGGACCTCCAGAGTGGAAAACTAAAGGAAGTCACTGGCAGAACTTCACGGAGTGGCCTGCTGGGACAGAACCTTCCCTGGGGTCAGACCGACTCAGGATGGTTTCTCAGCTTGGTACTGGCCAAGGGCCAGTGATGAAGTTCATTCCTCCACCACGCCTGGGCCTCCAAACCCAGTTTTCCCAAGAGAGAAACAGTGGTGAGGAGCATTCAGAGGATGAAATAAATGGGCAGTAAGAGAGTGGATAGGGGGAAGGAGATGAGAAGATGCAGCCTGGGAGTCAGGTCACCTGTTCAAACAATCTGAATCTTGTGCTTTCAGGGGGTTGGTCCTGGATCACTGCCCAGCATGAGGCACACCAGGAATGGAGGCAGCATACACAGAGGCAGGACAGCGCTTCTCCACCCGGTAAAATGAGGAGGAAAGCAGAGTCCTGGGAGATGAGCAGTGCTGGCCACATTGAAGACTTCCAAGATACCACCTTCAACATGAAGGTACTAGTTCGGCTCCCTGATGCCAAGCACTTCCCAGAGGAGTCCCCTGGCCCCTGTTCATGGCACTGCTTGATGCCAGGGTCAGAGAACATCCACAGGGAAGGGGGGTTGCTGCTGTGCTCTAAAATCCCATGGGAGGAGTCATGGGGCAGAGACCCCCCTGGATCCAAGTCAAAGGCCCTGACTCCTCCCAAAGCTAGTCAAGACCAGAAGACTGCTCCTGAGCAAGACCTTGTGCCATAACACCATGGATTAGAAGGGCAGGGCTCATGCCCTGGCTCCATTGTGCTTGATGTAGAGCCATGGGGAAGGGATCCTTTCCCCTCCAGTGCACCTGGGAGGGATGGAGCAAGTCCCAGCTCCAGGACAGCACAATAGCCTGTGCTGAGAAAGAAGGGGGAGATGCAGCGGTCCCTGCCACCTGCTCTTCATGTAACCATCCGTGCCAGCCACAAGCAGGGCTTGGTGCAGCTCCCAGCACTCAACCACCCCATAATCAAACATGCTGCAAAACTTCAGTCCGCAGGGAGGAGATGAAGGAAGCCAACACTCTCTTCAATTCTGTACTTGGATGGCTTCAGATGAAAGAGCAGGTCCAGGAAGAGTGAAGTAAAGAGACTCAGAAGCAATAAGGACAAGTATGAGTTACAAGAGCAAGCAGGAGTGTGCCCCAGACCCTGAGGCTCATCACCTCTCTGGGTTTGTCCAACTTGCATGCAGTTAAGGCAGACAGCAAAGTCATGATTGGGTCCTGGGAAACTGCTCCCTGCATATATCACATCACAAGATGGCTGGGAGTGGGTACAAGTCACACTGTGTTCTCTAAGTCTGCAAGGTGCAGGGCTAAAGATGGCCCTGGCACCAGCAGAGGAAATCTCATGGCTGTACGATGTCCCAGGCTTGTTACCTGCTTCCCCTATATAGATGCAGATCTACATATAGATTGTCCCAGATCACCCATTCTGTGAGTCTGCTGTACATGCCAACCTTTCCATTTCTTTTCCTTCCCCTGAAGGCTTGCCTTTGCTGTCAGTCATTGTCCTTTGATGAGTCTGCATGGAAACACTTATTTTGGCCTGTCCTTCCTCCCAAATGCTCATTTTTAACCTTAGGGCAACTGCATTTGTGCTCTGCTTCCCCCTCTAGTCTGGAAGCAGGATCAAATCTAGCAGCCTGGAGCTGGTGTTGGAGGCAATGAGGTGACCGGCTCCAAAAGCCACCTCCAGAAGGTGCAGCATGCAAGGTTGGGGAAGTCCCATTCCTCTGAACTGGCTGTGTGGCATGAAGCTGCCCTTACTCCCTTTGCAAAGCTTCATGACACTCCTAGACCTGCTCTTTTCATGAGAGGCTTGTGAACCTTGCAGTGAGGCCCAGGTAGCAGGTCTTCAGCTGGGGTCACCTATTCTGGCTCCATTGATGAAGCTCTGACAATTTTCACCACCTGCCCCAGGTAAGGGAGGATATTTTGGTTGAACTGAAGGACGTTAGGAGACAAGGGAACTAGCATAGCAGCTAGGAAACAGCTCCTGCTTGGGACTGACTGAACCAAGCAGAGCCATATAACACACTTGATTTCTTGTCTGCCTCCTTACTCCTGGTCCTAGCGGGGTGGCAGGTACAGTGCCATAGCAGGCTCTTGTTAGGAAAAAGTTACCCAAAGCCAAATAGCAAATATATTCTTACTGAATTTTGCCAGACAAAACACCATTCATGGGTGGTTGCAGTGACTATGGGAATGTGAAGGAAGGAGGGACTGAGAGGGGGAGAGGGACCACGCACTCAAGATGCAGAGTCTCACTTTCCAATACCTTGACTTCGGTTGAAACAGCCTCCTCCTGCACCATGGCAGAGGCTGCTTCTGGATTGCCAAGTCAGCACTTTCAGAAGGAGGAAGCCAGGCAGAAACCGTCTGTGAATGAGGCAGCATCATTGTTGGGCCAAGAGGTCTGTTGACCCCTGCCCCCACATCCCACCACACTGCCTCAGAGCACTCATCTGAGCCATTTTTAGACCAAGCCCAGGAGACGCAACATGAGACTCGGGGTCAGGATTTTCACAAGCTGTGGATGAGCTGAAGTGCTCTGCCTCAGACACTCTTAAAAGGTTTTGATTTCCAGGGAGAGCCTAGCACCCACCTTCTGAAGATCAGGAGCCCAGGAAGTGTCTCAGTTTGAGCACCCAAAGAGCTATTGCTAGTCTGCTATGTGTTGCAAGGCTAAGATTCTGTGTGAAGGGCTCATTTAAACAGTGGCTCCTCCTGCAGCGTAGAACAAGGGCTGGCTTATCAGATCCAAAATGTGCTGAACTACAGTATCATAAAGGAATTAAAGCTCCCCCCCCAGCCACAAGCAATGGCTCAGAAATGCATCAGCAAGACTGTGCGTTCCCAGGACAAATTCAAGTTTCAAAACCATAAACAACAACTACAAAAAACCCCAAAAAAACAGCTCTGTGAGGTAGGTTAACAAAAACAACCATTTCTTTCACACGCATGCACATGGTGCGCACACACACACACACGCACACAGCATTACAGTACACAATTACTTCCTGCTTTTGCTTCTCCAGCAGAGAGGGAGGAGCTGGCAGTCACTGCAGAAAATGGGGTCGGCACAGTGTATGGGAGCAGACCCTGATGGTGTGGACAGTTTAATGTACTCATGTGGCTGATACCAGCTGCCTGGGTGCAAGCCAAGGTCCTGCACTGGCCTGCGGGAAAATGTCCCTCTTTTGAGCCACTTGGTCTTATTCATGCACTGTGACCAGCTCCCCCAGGTCTGCGGGATGAAAGCCATGAGATGTGTGGGGCCCTTAAGCCAAGAGAGAATGAGACCAATCCACCCATTGAATACTTGGTCCTGCAGCACATCATGCATCCTAGTGCTCAGCATGGCTGAGGATCAGGCTGCAAGGAAAATAATTGGCAATCCCAGCAGGTTGCCCCTGCAACACACAGCTGGATGCTTCCTTCCTCCTGCAATATCCAGTGTGGGCCCGAACCCACTAAAGTCAATGGGAGACTTTTCAGTGGGATCTGGTGCAGGACGTGGAGGATTAAAGGAAAACCCCACAGAACCCAAGATACCTGTGCCTGGAGCCCTTCCCATCTGATCCCCTTTTAGAGATGGCTGCACTTGGTAAGGCAAAGGGCACATAAAATGCTCCTCTATCAGAGCAGCTCCATTTGACATCCAGCTTGAGTAGGTGTGAATGATGGGGTGACAACCAGAGGGAAAATGGGGTCCAAGACACTAGACAACATCCAGGGCCCCTGCCCACCCAACACCCACCTATTACATATACAGGGCAGGAGGTTCCTGAAGTGCCCAAAGGTCAGGGCCCACCATCACATCCTCTTCTCAGACAAGGTCCCATGTATTGTTACTCTTCTCACCATTTGGAGAATCCATCTGTCCATTCCCAGCCTGTTTAATTCTGTTCCACCTGAAGACCGTGGATGTATTTCTCTCCAATTACCACCAGCTTTGTGGGTGGAACAGAGCACAAGTGAGTAACTGCAATCCATGCTGATACCAAAATCTTCCCAGGCACCAACACAGAACTGGAGACACTTTCTTGAGCTGGCGGTAGGAGTTGAGGGAACAAAGAGTGGTTTTGGAGACATGGATTCAAAGTGACCCAACTTTTTTGTATTGGGATCTCACCACAACCAGGATTCTGGCAAGACCTGGGAGCTTCTCATCCAAGATGCTCAGAGACTGAATGGGCATGAGCAATGTGTCAAAGTGCAGAGGCAGCCTTGGTCCTGCTGATATGCAGAGGTTGAGGATACTTCTTAATTTGTCCAGCAGGGGAAGGAAGAAGCAATGTTTTTGTAGAGCTCAACAATACAAAGTCATCATTTTCCTTCTATGAAGATGCAGCAGTTGAATATTTTAAAGACAAAACAAATATTTTAGGACCCCCCCCCAGTGCTTAGAGTTCAGGAAGATTTCCCTGTCCTGTTCATAAGAGTTTTAAGGTAGGTCAAATCTGCAACATGAGGCGCGCAGCTGCTCTCCTTCAAGTTCCCACATAGAGGGAAGCCATGAGAAAAATATCCTACAAATTTAGAGAAAAGTATGAAGGTCCTGGCACCCCTACCAATGGAGAACATGCAGTCCATAGCTGATGGGATCACAGGAAGAAGAATCAGTGCTTCAACAACCCACAAAACATCTACAGGAATAAATCCTTAAAGCAAGCATCAAAAAACTGCTTCTTATGTGACATCTGGGGTTATGCTAGATGAGCAGAGGAAGAAAGGGCCAATCTGCTGAGACTTCCTTTGGCTCATTTCACGACTACATTGCAAGAAGAGCTCAGGCAGAGCAAAAAGGATGATACATTGAGCTGCTGAATGCAGACTTCCTTGGCGAATGCAGGTTTCAACGGTATGGGGCTGGGACTCACAGTAGCCAGCTGTTTGAAGGGGAGGAGAGACAAAGGTAGCAGAAGATAGCAGTGAAGGGGATTATGCCTCCTTGTGGGAGTATAAGTCTAAGGGACACTACATGCCTGCGATGGCTGCTGGCAACAAGCTGCAAATGCCCAGGATGAACGCGAGTCCAAACATGGTGGAAGGGACAAAATGGGGGTGAAGGAACCTAATGGAATTTGTCCCATATGGAGCTCAAGTCTGGGGCAAACTTAATGGCTGGTGCTAAAGCAACAGCGTGGATAAACAACATGCAACTCCTGCCCCACCCTAGCTGGATGGTAATCCCAATGTCCTGGATAGACCCCTCCATTTGTTCAGGCCTTACTCTTCTCCAGCAGCATACCAGCCCTGCACAGTTTTCAGTCCAGAGCACTCCCTGCCTACCAGCTCTGCAAAAACACCTCTCTCCTGACCATAACATTTCCTCCTCCCTATCCTTCAGGCCCTGCTTTAGTCCCAGACCTCTTGAGCTGAGACTTATGCCTTGGGAGAGCAAGAATCCAAACAAATCTAAAAACCTCCAGTGAGAGAATGCAAAGAGCTGAGAGAAATCAGGTACCTAAATAACTTTACCACGTGGCTCTTCATCCTTTCACCAACACTAACACTTGTCCAAGCTACCAAGTTCCCCAACACTGAGGGTGATTAAAAATGCTTATGAAATCCAATATAAAAACAGTAGAAATACCCTTTCCAGCAGCAGCTGGGATAGACCTTGGTTGCATCTGCTATACCGGTGCAGAGCAGAGGTGGCCAAGCTGCATGTCCAACCAGACAGCGAGGAGCACAAGATCTATCGAACTGGCTAACTATACAATTAAGGCTCTGCTGGGCATGAAGGGACCACCAGTGAATACAGCTTCTAGTTGCACTTTTCCTTGGAGGTGTCAGAAAGGCATTTTTCAGGCCTGCCACCTGCTTTCTGTTTATAAAGGCAGTGCCCAGAACGAGCTAGGAGTTTGGGTCTAGTTGTCAGGTTCAGATGTCTCTGATCACCCAGGGCCCCTGGATTTCATTCAGAGACACAGAGAGGTTCTGCTGTCCAAAGATCTGCAGAGCCCTGGCACAGCAACATGGCTTGGAGGTGGTCCCTAGAGGTAGCTCCATCCACAGTAGCACTTCTGTACTGGGGATGCTCCCAAACATGGCAATGGGGCAGTCCGCGACATCTCTGAGCACTGTACAAGTCCTCTCCGTGTTTTGGTACCAGCCAGCAGAACCCAGCTCTGCTGGACAATTAGGTGTGCAGGGAGATTTTTTTTCAATAGCTCCAAGGGAAACTAGCCCCAAAACTATGAGCGAGCCCAGGCCCCCAAAAGGTGCAGGGGACAGCGAGGAGGGTGCAGGTAAAATGATGTCATTGCACATGTAGGAAAAATCTCACTACTGCAGACAGATATGTGGGGGTTTGTTCTGGTGCTGAACGAGCTGTGGGCAGAAGGGAGCAGATAGAAGTGATACCATCAGGATTCTTGGCTTTGCTGGTTATGAAGCAATTTCTGGCTCTAGCTGTGGTCACTGGGAATCTCTATGCATTGAGAAGGTCCAGCATGGAGGCAGGAAGGGACAGACCACCCCACACAGAGCTCCCCAATCACAGGAGCTGGTAGGGCATGAAGTACCAGACAGGATGTCTTCTGTCCCAGAAACTGCAAGAGGTTAGAACTACCAGCTGGGGCCTAGACCACTCCCATGCCTTGCAAACAAAGTGGCCTGATGGCCAGGGAAAAAGCTGAGACCTTTCCCCCTCTCAGGATACAGGAGTCCCCAGGACTTGTCTCTTGGCAGCTCCTAGATTGTGCTGTTCAGTGACCTTCTCCTGCTCCAGAGCTTCACTGTCAAGTCACTGAGGAACAAAGGTAAGAGAGAGGGCAAGAAATGGGGACTGCCCAGTGGGGTCACCGGCAGCCGCCCCACCAGTGCCAACACAGCATTCAACTGCAATAGAGCAGCAGACCACAGCCCATTCCCAACCCACAGCCCACCCTCAAGCAGTGCTGTCCCCATAAGACCTCTGGGCTGCCATTCCCTGGCAGGTGGGAAGGAAATCATCGGGTTGGGGAGGTCATGGGGATCAGGCATGGCCTTCACTGACTATCGGGGAGGATGACTCTCAGAGAACCTCCACTGGAGGACTTGGCAGGAACTCAGGGCCCAGCCTATTGCATCTCATTGGCAACAGCCATGCATGGTGGGACATGGAGAGCTGATGGACTAGCAGTGGCCTATGAGGAGGCATAGACTGGCTGGCCAAGCCCACAGCAGACTGGAGCCAGCTGCTGGGCTCTACTGCCCCTTGACTGAGCTGCAAGTGACCTGGAGCTGTGACCCTGCAGGGAGCCTCCAGGCTTGGTTTCTGGAGGGGGGACCCTTCCATATATGGCTGCCTGCGTGCAACCCTTCAATACCATGGGGCAGGCAGGCAGCCTGGCTCTGAAGGGTGGGCACCAGGGGCAGAACAGAGAGTAAAACCTGGGCAGCAGGGAAGGGGCGGGGAATGGGCCAAAGGGGAGATTCTCTTCTTGTAAAAAAACAGGATAAAATTGGGGAAACCAAAAATCAAACAAGCAATCTCGTACCGTCAAGAAGCAGCTGAGACCAGGGCGGGGAGAGAGTGCAAGAGAGGACAGGAAAGAAGAAAGAAGACGCGAGCGACAGAGAGAGAGAGAAAGCAAACAAGCAAAGAGTAGGAAAGAGCCAGAGAGCAGGCGGGTCAAGGCAGGCTAGTGGCACGGCCCTTGATGGCAAGGACGCGTCGTGGCAGGCAGGGGGTGAGCCCAGGCACGTAATTCCATAACTTTACCCGGCAGTCACTGCGGCACAGAGAGCGGCAGGGAGAGACAGAGAGAGAAAGGGAAGGAGAAAAGGGACATGGTCGGAAAGAGGAGATCAGAGTTTTGGTGCTGGCAAAACTGGGGGCAAGACAGGGCAGGACTGCCAGGAGATCTCTCATAAGGGCAGGGCTGCACATGGAGACTGGGTCATGGCAGGAGAGGGCCAGGCAGAGACCATGAGGGGGATGCAGCAAGGCCCAAAGTGGGAGCCAGTTCCCAGCCATGGGGAAGACAGTTTGCTGCAGGAAAGGGACAGGGCAGCAGCATCAGGCCCGACTCTTCCTGGCACGTCAGCAAGAAACAGCCAGTGGCATCAGCAGGCCATGGGCAGGGCAGTTCAGCACTGAGTGCTTAGAGTGAGGGGAAGGGAGACCTCATCATGGGAAGGGTGGATGCTGTCTGAGAGGAGATGGAGGAGCAAGGAAACCAGAAGGCTGCAGCCAGCCTGCCCCACCAATTACTGCTGAAAAACCCAGATCGCCAGGAACCCTGCTCTAGGACTGCTCCAGTCTCTTGCTCCTACTACCCACCCAAGCCCGGGAACGTGGAGGGTCACACAGGATGTAGAACAATTTTGGGGCAATGCTTGGGGTCAAACCTCCCTCCCCAACACCACCTGGAGCTGAGGACTCTTCCTGAGGGGACAGGGATTAGGAACAGGAACCCCAGGCATCCCAGCACTCACCTGGAGGCAGTAAATATGTGCTTCGAGTTGGTGCAGATGGCATTGATGGGGCTGTCGTGTCCCTTGATCTCCCCAACAGGCGTGAAGTTATCCACGTTCCAGACCTTCACCAGGCCTCCGCGGCAGGCACTCAGCAGCATGGGGCGGCCAGGGACAAAAGCCAGGGCACAAACCCAGTCCTTGTGTGCATTCGGGATTTGCTGTTGGGATTTCACAGGGACAAAGAGAGGATGGATCTACTCAGTGCACCCACTGCACATGGCCTGCCTTGTCCTTCTATCATCTAACCTATGATCCAGATTTTGCAACTGGCTCGCATCTGCACAATGGGCTGATCCAAATACCCCCAAATTCTAGACAGGGTTGAACTCTGAGACTGGAGTTCTTATGCTGGGCCCAGCTTTGAACCAAGAGGCAGAAGGCTGACTGAATCCAAGACTCTGGGCTCAGGATACCCCTCAATAGGACTATGTGAGAGCAGCTCAGCACGTGGAGAAGAATAATGCTCCCAGCAACACAGTTGAATGTGTTAGGGTTTGCCATCACAGAGGTCCCTTCCAGCAATACTTTTCTATGATCTGCAGGCTCTTTGCAGACATAATCCACTCACCCCTCCTCAGAACTCAATGAGATGTCGCATGGGAGGGCAGCGGGACCCACCCAAGTCACAGCAGCAAGCAGCTACTGAGTTCAGTATCTCCATTTTGGCGACACACCTCCCATCTGATTTTCAGAAGTGCTGAGTACTGAGCTCCCACTGACACCTATCAGCCACTCAGGTGCTCTGCACCTCTCAACATCTGCCCCCAGGGTATCTGATGGAGTGAGATCCACAGGCACTGAGGCACCCCCAAAAAAGGAGAGTCAGTGGGAGAGAATGGAAATACAGGTCCCAAGCCTCCTGACCACTACTGCCCCACTCCAGCCAGCAGGTCATGCTGCCTCTCTGGGATGAGCTACAGCATAAACTCTGGAGGTCCCAACTAGGTGCCCAACAAGACACAGGTTTGCAGTACATAGGACCCTGAGATCCAGCACAGACATGCGCATGAATTGTCCACCTCAAAAAGCAAATTTCTAAATGCCCAGAGCAGCTGGAACCTGAGAAGAGATGGACAAATCACCCGCCAGTAGGGCACACAGCACAGGTCAGTGCACATGGGTCCAAGCAGGATCCCGTGGGTAGCTTCTGTGGTGCAGCCTTACCTTGTGCCTGAGCCTTGGCAACACTCCCCTGGGACTCATCTGCCTCCACCTTCTTCCTCCCCCTGCTCCCTACCACTTGCAGATAGGAGGAAGGGGTGGAGATGCCATCTGCATCCACCTCACTCAAAGCCCCTCCCCCTGCTTCAAGACAGTGCTTTGCAACCTTCTGGTTTAAGTGCATGTCTCTCCTGCAAGGCACTTGTCATCAGGGCCCTGCTCACTCCCCTCCATACCTGGGTGAGCTCCTGCTGCTCCAAGTCCCATTTCTTTATCCCGTTGTCTCTGGAGCCGCTGAAGAGGACATCTCCCTGGATGGCTAGACATTCGATGCCGTCGTAGTGGGGAGGCTCAAAGTTATGAGTAGGGCCGATGTTACCTACCATGCCTTCCGCAATCTCAAACACCTGCAGGGCACAGATAGCTGTGAGAGCCTGGCTCAGTCCTGGGGAAAGAGCTCAGCCTCTCTTATACTTTCAGCCACCAGGGAGGTCAAGAGCTGGGAGACTGACACCAAGAGCCACACAGGTGGATGCCCAGCCAGGGACCTCTGGATCTGTGGGGAGAGGGCCATGGGTAAAAAGGGGATGGGAGGGAGTGGGCTTGTCACCTAGGGACTGCTTTGGAGCCTAGTGTGCTCAGCTGTAACTGAAAGCCCCGACATCCCTTAGCTGAGTGGGGTCCCTGTGGGGTCTCTGCTCCTAGTCAGCAGGTGTCCAGGTTCCAAAAAATGAAGTTGCCTCCTTGCTGGAATATGTGGCAGAGAGGCCAGGGGCTGTATGAGCAACAAGAGGCCTATTTTACCTTTCCAGTTTGAGGCAGATCAGCAAAGTGCACGAACAGGGAGACTATGCTGCCTTGTCTGGGCCAGGCACAGACAGTCCCAGGCTATCCAGCACCAGCCTCATTATATGAGTGTGAGAGACTGCAGATCTTCAGGCTTTGGGCTTTTGGGATCCCAGAAGTTCTTCAGAACAATTTTTTCATTATTAAATTTATGCGCGTTCCAAGCTAAAATAGCCAAATCAAAGTCCAAATCCACGAGGCAGTCCAGAGCCATAAGTGGCCCTACTACCAGCAAACATTCTCCACCCATACCTGGGGCTTCAGATGTTTCCAAATCCTTTGGCAGGCGTCCTACATGCAAGCCCAAGCCTGGAGGCTTGGGGTTCAGATGCCCCCGAGTTTTGCTTGCCGTTAACCATAAGGCCCTCGATGCAAGCAAGGGAGGAGACTCCCATTTCCATAAAGTGGGTTTAAAGTCGCTACACCTTGGTGGGTACTGAATCATGCCCCAGAAGAGCAGTTCTCCCCAGGTGCACTTTAGGAAAACTGCCTTCATGGACACAAATATATGGTATTTCTCCTGCCAGGTTCAGAACAAGCACTACGCTTGATCCAACGCTTCAGAACAATTGCACAGGCCCTGCTGGAGCAGGTTCCCTCTGCAGAGCAAGACTCAGCAAGGACAGCTCTCTGGGATGGGGACAGGGCACTGTCAGATTCTGGATGATGCAGCCCACACCTCCTAAGGGGGTTAGGGCATTTTTCCCAGGCCCTAGCTGGGATTTCCAGAAGAGCTCAGACCTGAGTCACCAACACCTCTGCCAAGCCAGGTCCTGAAGTGCAGCAAGCCCCCGACTCAGGAGGGAGCTGACCTTCTACAGGAGGGATTAGACAGTGATAATCCTGCCTGAAGCAGGGTGTGAACTAGACGATTTCCCAAGGGTCTTTCCAGCCCTGCTGTTCTAGGATGCCACAAGCCTGGCACTCCCAGACACTAAAAAGGGAACACTCCCATGAGTAGCAGAGACCAGGCACAAAGGCATCTATAGCTGCTGAAGAGTAAGAGGGCATGGGGGTACCTTGACATAGTGGTCTTTGGATCCAGTGACGACCAAGTCATGGTTGCTTGCAGTCTGATTCACCGTGAGACACATCACGGGCCCAATGTGCCCGGTCAGCTTCCCGATAGGCTGCAATCTACAAACAACAGCACGTGCCTCACTGTGGATGGTACTTGCTTGTGAAGTCTCCTCAGCGGGTCCCTAGGCCCCCTTTTCTCCCTGACATAGCCACAGGAAACTGCCATCTCAGAACCAGGGTCCTGAGCAGGAGGACTCCCTCCGTCTTGCAAGTCCCTTGAGAGAAGCAGGAAGCCTCGGCCTGGCCAGAGCCTGTAGCAGCAGGAACTGGGCTCAAGCAAGACTCGGAGGGGCTCAGTGAGCTGCCTTCCATTGAAGGGTGCTAATAGGAAGGCACAGGGCGATGCAGAGCAATGTGCACCTGCACTTTTTCTGTGGCACTGACTGGAGATCTAAGCCAATCTTTTCTGGGGCCAGTCACAAATCCCCAACATGAGCAGGGTAAAACTACTCCAAGTGCTCGTTTGGGCTACTGCAGCAGCTCCCTTGGTGCCAGTCACAGCTGCTAGCTCCCTTAGGTAGGGCCTGCCTGCAGCATGAGCGCACGCTCCAGCCCTCTCCTTCCTCTTGGCTCTAGGGCCCCTCTATTCACATGACCCCAGCATTCAAGTCCCCCAGAGGTATTACACCCCTTGTATGCATCCAAACTCCAGCCCAGGCCTGACCTGCTCAGCTCCCAAATGCGGACAGAGTTGCCTGTGGCTGCATAGAGCATGGTGCCGGTGGGGTTGAGTGCGATCTGGTTGATTTGGTGTTCCCCCTGTACGCTGGTGATGGTACGAGTGGTGGTACTGGCACAGGCATCTCCAGAGATCACCTGGCCCGAAGATCTATGGTGCAGAGGAATAGACATGTGAGCGCAAGAGCAGAGGCTTTCATGGGGCAAGGGTGGGAAGGGGTGTACTCTGCCCTGGATTGGAGATCAGCTCCACTGTGCCCCTAGGAGACAGCTGAAAGCAGCCCCTGGTCCCAGCTTGGCCATCGTTTTCCAATAGCATCTTACAGAATGGTGCCACCAGGGCCTGCCCCCCTCCCTGGACATCAGCCTCCTCATGGAGGTAATGAGGAAGCCAGTCCTCAGCTCCACACTGCCCTCAAAAGACTTGTAGCATTGTCACAGCAAGGGGAAACACCTGCCACCAAGGGGATGAAGTGATGTTGCCCCTGCTCCTGTGTTGGAAAAGATTCCCAGCCCAAGGAATTTCACACTGGCCTAGGTGGGGCATGAAGGGGATAAGGGGGTGATGGGAGGGCTGAGAAAGTCGATGACTGGCTGGGAATGGGACAGAACTGCCAGGAGGAAGCCAGGTTGAAGCCTGCAGAAGAACTACTGGGTCAACACCTGGTTGAAGCCATACAGAGGAACTGCACAGTGCACTTGAGACTAGAACAGCAAACGTTGCGAGCTAAGGCTCTGGGAGCTGACCCATGGCAAACTGTTCCCATGTTCCCAGACTCAGTCCTGCAAGCCCCCAGGGGCTGGCAACCTGACCTGTGCCATAGCTAACAAAGCTATCAGGGAAAAGCATCAAGCACAACAGGAATCTGGAGGGCGGATACATACGTGAGCGTGCGGATGCACTTGGCAGAGTCCCGGATGTCCCACACCTTGATGTAGGAGGTGGACACTGTGAACACCAGCCCCGTGTGGCTGCAGTACTTGATGGACACCACGTTGTTGGGGTGGCCCTTCAAGGAGGCGATTTCCTGGCCTGTCACCAGGTTCCACATTTTGCAGCTCCGGTCTGAGGAAGGAGACATGGACTCTGGAGAAAACTGCCAGGTGCAGCTATCTAGGAGACCCCTCTCAAGAGCAAAGACCCTGAGCCATCTTTCAGTAAAGGAACCCCTGATCCAGCAAATTCCTGCTGCCCAGAAGCCTGCCCCTCCACCTCTCAAGGACAGCCTTAGGGGCAAGGGCCATCTAGCCCCACTCTCTGTCCCAATTAACTGGAGGAAGGACAGTTCATGCCCCCTGCAATGTGGGCACCTCAATACCAGGGACTGGGCTGCAGCCCAGCAACTCTTTTTACAGCCACCTCCAAGCAGCTATTCAAGAACAGTGAGGCTGGTTACCCAATGGCTGATGCAGCACGACTGCCCTCTCCTGGGCTGACTGAAAACTGTCTCCTTATGAATCAATGGGGTTTTGTGGCTTTGAGCTCAGCCAGTGGGGACTTGGGGCCTTAAAGCAGGATGCCAATCCTCCCCAGGTGGTCACAAGGGTGTGGGTACTCAGTCATTCTCCAGCCAGCACAGGCCTCTCTACAGCTCAGCACCCCCCACCCACCCTCACCAGGGCACGCACCTTTGGATCCAGTGAAGAGCAGCTCATCGGTGGCATCCAGGCAGAGAACAGGCTTGGTGTGTCCCTCTGCCATGGAGACGCACTGCAGTGGGGCTGTCCGGGCACTCTTGGCACCACCCACTGGATTAATGATGCCCCTTCCAAGAGAGAGAGAGAAACACATCAGCAATGGGGGTTCCCAGCTAAACTCCCCTGGGAGCAAGTTGCCTCTTGCATGAGAAGGCATCAAACCACAGGCTTTACTCAGGGTCTGGGCTTGCAGCAGACTTTCCTGGTGATAGAGGGGCTGCAAGCCTCCCTAAGCAGACAGGTGCACAGGGGATCAGCCTGTGGGTGGACTGTGCTGTGTCCCTGAGGCCCCCGGCGGTGGGAGCTTGGAGGCTGATGAAGACCCTGCCTTTGGCTGGGCCTGTGCTGGAGGAAGATTTCTGCGGGTGTGCAAAGCCTTGTGAAAGCTATCCGCTCAATAGGATCCCCTCTGCCCCAGGTAGGCAAGGGCCCAAACCAAAGCTGAGGCTTCTGCAGGCTCTGCCCTTAGCACCACTCCCTTCCATGAAGGACAGGCAGCCCCTGGGCTCGAGCCACTGCCCCACTACCTGGCTGTCGCCATCCAGTTGCCAGGACATGGAGCAAGGGCACCCCCCTGTGGCCAGTGTGGGGATGTGGCATCCTTTAGTCAGCTCCTGTCCCCCAGGGGCACGGGCAACTCTGCCTGCCCAGGGTGACAGACAGGGTCACCAGGTGGGATCAGGGGTGGCTGAGACCCCCAGGAGCCCAAGCTGTCCAAGCCCCTTTCAGAATGCCCCTCCCAGGCCTCTGGACCGTCCTGTTCAGGCACAGCCCATCTCACACCTGGTGGAAGGTTTCCCCCTCCCGCTACACCTGTACAAGGGGTGTCAGGGTGACGAGCACAGATAGCCCCCATCTATGAGGTGGTGTGACCTGACTGCCCTCCCAAACCTAGTGCAGCAGGCAAGCAGAACACATGCTACAGACCTTCCCTGAAAGGAGACAAGCTGCTTGCAGAGCCCACCACACACAGCTCAGGGGCTCTTCTGGATGGGACATGCCTACGATCCTGGTGCTCCTCCCAGCATGACAAAGGGCTGCTCTTCTGAGAGGACAAGCACCTCAGCCTTCAGCAGAGGGCACCGGTGGGCAAAGCACTCAGGGTCTCAGACAGTTCATCCCAGCTCAGTTTCACCCAGGCAGGTCCCAAAGGATGTGCCAGGAGCGAGGCTAACTGGGGCAGTGCCAGGTCCCAGGAACAGCTAGTCAGGTTATCAGGGTCATTCAGAGGGAGGCTTCAGAGCCCAAGAGTGGGGACCCACGGCCCTGTGGGCAAGGTGGGAGCACAGCAGAGCTCCCCACTGGAAAAGCCCATTAGCACCGTCACATCTAGAGGCTGGACAGCTCCAGTACCTCATAGCACTGCCCCTGCCTCACAGTGCGGTGGAGAAGCAGGGCATTTGTATCAGACTCACAGGGGCTCTCATCAACACCCAAGAGTCAGTGGAGGAGACTCTCCCACCAGTCTGGGTCCCTTCCACTGCTCTAATGATGTGCATGGGAGTCAGAGTTGAGTTGCACATCTAGGCCACTGCCAGTACAAACCCTGACCCTTGGTGTCACAGCCACAGCACACATCGCAGTGGGGGAGGTTCTGGGTGGGCACAGCTCACAAGCAGCCTCTTTGGACAATGCTGTCATTTAGAGGAACCACTGAGGCTTCTATAAATGACGTGGGAAGCTGCACTTGTCCTTGAAAACTCCCAGAATTACCCTCCCCACCACGGCAGAGTCTTGCGTTCCAAAAGGCTGGAGCTTTGGGAAATGCACCCTTGCTTTGTGCATCAGGTTCTTCCTCTGAAAGAGGGATGACAACCCTGTGAGCATTGAGAAGTTGACACTGTGTTTGTTGAGTGCCGAGAGGTGTTTGGATGGAAGATGCTAGAAGAGGACAAAGCATGACTGCCTGGTTCTTTCCAGGCTGACACAGATGTTAGCAGCTGGACTGCCCTGGGACTTGGAGTACCCT